AGGGGTTTTAGAGAAGTGTAAAGATTCTTGGTGTTGAAAAGAGAGAGGGGAGGGAGGGACGGGGGGGGGGAGCGAGGAAAGGGGTGGAGAGAGAAAGAGGAGGAAGAAGTGGGAGGAGGAAGGGTACGGGATACCGATTAAAAGAGGGTGGGAAGGGAGCAACTGACAGGCTCAAGAGCAAATAACAGTGGGCAGTTGAACCGCAGCCAGAGCCTGAAGAAGCCAACGCCAGGGAGGAGGAAAAGCAGCAGGTAAGGGTGGACTTGAACTTTAAAAGCTAAAACTACACATCAGCGGGAAGTAGATCAGAGACCGAGACTTGCCTCTCCAGAGGCTGGATAAGAAGCAAGTCTTCCTCTGTACCTGTGATTCCCAACCCTCTCCATTCCTGCCCTAGTGAAGCTTGGCTAAATTAAATAGGAAGGTTGTGAATCTACTGATTCCTGATCCCATAGAAATGCGAGTGGGGGCTGGGGCTCCTCGGGTCACAGGCTGCCCCTATGGAATTGCAGTGCTCTGGGGGCATCGTAAGAAGTGGGTCACTAGTTCATTTCCAAGAACTTTCCGTAAGTGGGAATTGGCCCTTTAAAAACAAAAAGCAGCAATGTTTACAATGTTTTCTCTAAGCATGGGATCTCTTTGGAAATGCTTTCCACGGCAGCGTCTAGGAGAGCGCTTTTTTTTCCCCCATAAGGCATGTTGGACAGTTTAAAAATATTCTCTGCTTAGCTTCCTACTGTGTAGCATGTCCCCACTGTGCAGTGGTACAAGAATCCCAGACGCCCCTGAGGTCATGAAAGAGACCGTGAGATCCAATCCGAGGGCTCCATCCCACCTGAAGGCAGCAGCGTGAGGCAGCAACTTCTGGCAGTTTCTTCCCTTGCTTCTGATCATGCGGCAATATAATCCAGACCCGGGGGCTCGGAAACCTGGGACTGGTCCCCTACGTAGCTATGTGACCTTGGGTGTGACACTTCCTCCTTCTGGTTCTCATTGTTCTACCATGAAATGTTGGACGCTAGAAGGACCCTCTCTGATCCAGTTGGTAGCAACACTATGGAGAACTATGATTCCATAGGCTCCAATGCAACTCAGAACCAATTATAAAGCGTCACTCGACACAATGATTTCCGTTCTTCCTTCAGTTGGTGGACCGGCTTCCCACAGCCCCATCATCATGTCCATCGTAGGGATTCCTGGTTACTCCACAGCTCATCACTGACCTGGGTGCGTCCTGGCCAAGGTTTAGGGATAGCATGACCAGACTGGCCTGAGAGAAGGAAGGGCAATGGAAGAGCCTTGGACAAAGGGCCAGGGGACCTGAAACCCAGAGATGCTCAGCAGAGAGGAGACCAGGGCTGCCTGTGTGCAGGTAGCTTCTTGACTGGACCCACCCCATGGCTGACAGGCACATCAGCCTGACTTTCACTGTAGTGGACTAGGTGACCTCCATCTTGCCTACCCATTGTCCCCAGAGTCTTAACCCACGCCTGAGCTTGATTCACTGCTCTCTAGGGACAGACTCTGGACTTTGTACCTTCCTGTCAGGTCTCCACCCCCATCCCTGAGGCAGCAGAGCAATTTGGAGCCTATAACTTGTGGCTACCCCTCCAGGCCCTTTCCTCGCTCAGCAGCTGCCAGTGAGGAGTCTAGTGCAGATTGGAAAACCCCAAGAGGAATGTCCTCCAGGTCCTGTGTTTCCTATACAGGTGATGTTCACAAAGCCATGGCATTCACTAGGTCAGGAGGCTCTGTCTTGCCACTGTCCTGGAACTCCAAGACAGTGTCTGGCTAGGGTCCTGTTCTCATCACTCCTGGTGCTTCCATTTAAGCATCTCCACAACCCTGGGTTTTGGCACTCACTGCCTTCCTGCCTGCCCGTCCTCACCTCAGCTGGCTGCTAGGAGGTACAGACAGCAGACAGTTATGGACTCCAGAAGTCACCAAGGCTGTCACAGTGCCACCTTGTCTCTAGGGTACTGGTTGACCACATCTCTGGGGATTGCCGATTAAAATGGGACAAGTGAGCTGTGTCTATCACTCAGGACAGCAAATGGGAGACCTGTAGCCCCTGGACCAAGGTCAAGCTCTCTGCCTTCCAGGGAAGGACTGTTCCACAGGGGATTTCAGCAGCTGTCTGTGTAAGCTCTCTGAGTGCCCGCAGGCATAGCTCAGGGCTCAAGGGCTGAGCTAGTCAAGAAGGAGAGATGCCCATTTTCCTGTAAGAAAATCCTACTTCCTTCCCATTGTTGGAAGAGACTGACCTGTGAGTGATAGCTTAGTGCCACTTTCTGAATCAATTGTTTCTGATATATTAGCGAATAATGGGCAAGAAAAATCCAGCAATCCATTACGGCTTTGATAAATAAAGGGAGCTTTGCTGTTTTGGAAGCAGAGGGATTGAAATAGCACAGAGGGGCACGACAGTGTCTAATTCAGATGTAGGGTGTGGAAATTAGCTGTGTGATTTCAGGCAAATTACTTAATGTCTCTGATCCTCAGCTTCAGTAGGAGGAAGTCTTCTGTGAAGCTTAGTAAGTATTGCACAAAGCCTGTTTACTGTTGTTCATTGAACACTAGGGTCTGGGTACATGAGTACGAGTACCTGACAGACCACTGAGCTCCATCCTCAGCCTGCTATCTTAAATGGCTAACACATGCTGGCTGTTCAGCCAACACTAGAACAACAAAGCCTACTCCAACAGACCTGGTTCTTAGCCCCAGGCTTTTTGAATTACATCTCATTTGATACAAGAGCTTTTTCTTTAGTGAAGGCCAGCATTGGCACCTAATTCTGAGAAGGCACTGCTTGCTTTTTATCACTAGAGACTTTCGCCCAAAGGTCCACACTTGCTGACCTCTCAGCTAAGAGTTGGGAAGTCTGATTTTTCTCATGACTTTGCCACTCACCTGCCAACCTCTCATAACTGGGCAAGTCCCAGGCTCCCCAGATGCACCAGCTTAGGACTGTCAGGCCTTGGCAACCGTTCCACCTAACTGCTTTTCTTTAGATCACTGCATTGTGGTTCAGGGAAAGGAACACGTCTGTTTAAAGGCACAGCAAAATAAACAGCTGGGGCCAGAAAGAGCCTCCTTCATGAGATGCTAACACTGGGTGCCTAAAAGGACTTCCAGAATCCATATGCAAACCTGGAAATTTCTCAGTTCAAAACTTCAGAAGGTGAAGTAGCCAGCTGAGATGTCTCTGGTCCCCGTTTACAGTAGAGAAGTTCCTTTCTCTCTTTCCAGTAGAGCTGGCCATCTTGGATTCTCCTTTGCCTTCAGAAATGAACACATTCAAAGTGCTTTAGTTCTTCAATCCCATGAAGCATTCTCAGGCACTAAAGACATGTGTGAGGCTAGCCTGCCTCAGTAATGAGAGGAGCCTGACCTGAGCAGGCCTACATACACCTCTCTGCTTCCTCAGTCTTACCCAGAGGGCATTGATGCTTACACAACCATCTTACTGATGCATGAGTGCCCTTCCAATCACCCATGGTTTCCTTGTCCCTGATAGTTGCCATCTGGTATCTAATTCCACGAGAGCCTTGCAGTGTCAATAACCTGTTTCTTGCAAATTCAAGTTCACTAACAAGTTGGGTAATTGGGTCATGGTTGATGTTTTTTTTACTGGAAACATCAGAAAAGAAAACATGGTACTAACAAGCGCCTTCAGTGTGCCAAATAGTGTTCTAGATGCTTCCACATACTCATATATTCTTTAGTGCCCATGATTAAACATTCCCACTTGTTTTTTGAGCTGGAAACTAAGATCACTCAACTAGAGAGCAATGAAATTGGGGTCCTGGCCCCAGTATTTCTTAGAAACCATGAGTCTATCATCTAGCTATGACTGTTTCTGTTGACCTTATTATGATGTGACAGCCATAAGACCTCAGAACATGCTGTTTGGCTTGCTGGAAGTCCAGGCAGGCGAGATTGCCACAGCCAAGGGCACTTACTGGCTAAAAAAGGAAATAACTTTCTATATGTGAATTCTGACCAATGGTGGCAGTTGCTGAAGAGTCTTGGCCCCTGTGGGCTGAGGCCCCTGACAGTGACTAATGCCAGGAACAGCGTAAGCAAGAGCTGGTCTGCCAATGAAGCAGAAGGTATCAGAAGAAATCCTGGGCTTCTTGTGGGACTGGATAAAATGAGCAATGCCCTGCTCACCGGCTGAGACTGGCATTCTAGATACAGGTTTGTCATACTTTGTTGGTCCTAGGAGTTTTTGTCTTTCTCTTTTTAAAGATATAAGGGAGTGTGGGCTTTGAGATCAGAGTGATGAGAGTCAGGTTCCTTTGCTGCATTTGCTAATCATGGGACTTTGGACCAGTTACCAAACCCTCAGACCTCCACTTTCTCTTCTGTGAAATGGAATAATATGACTGACTTCCCTAAGAGAGTTAATGGATGGGTTTTTAATGGTTTGTTAAGAGCTATGCACATGGAAATCCATCTTGCTCTCAGTGGTGCTAATGTTCTTGTGGTCCCTCTATGGCTGTCTCATATAAAAATAGGTTTGAGTCTGAGAGATATCTGTGTGCAGCTGTAAGGGTCTATGAATCTATTATAAGACCATAGGAACAATAAAGACCTTCGAGCATTTTCATAAATAGAGTTTTCATTCCTAATTGTATCGGAACTAATCAACTCCCATGGGGTGATTAATAAAGACCTCCCAATATTTTGTTGTGAATTAGTGTTTCTACACACTACCCAGTTCTAACTACTCCTTTTTTCTTTTAATATTTTAAGAAGAAAATGATAGCGTTTCCCACCATGATTCTTTTTCTTTTTCTTTTTTCTTTTGGTTTTTAGAGACAGGGTTTCTCTGTGTAGCTTTGGAGCCTATCCTGGCACTCACTCTGGAGACCAAGCTGGCCTCAAACTCACAGAGATCCGCCTGCCTCTGCCTCCCGAGTGTTGGGATTAAAGGTGTGTGCCACCAACGCCCGGCCACCATGATTCTTTCTTAACTTTGTACCCTCCCTTCACCCTCTTGGCTTCAAAGCAACAATGTGCTGGCAGGTGTCTCTGAGTCCACCAATCTGTCCTTGCCAGAATAAAATAATTAGATTTTAAAAGGAGTCAATTGTCTGCCGTCGGCTTGAGTAGGAGGAAACCTGCATCTCACCCATCTGTTCCTTTCCTCCCCTCTCTCACCTCTTGTCTTCCTCTCCCTTATTTAGTGATCAAGGTTCAGGGATGCTGGCCCCTAGTCACCCACTAATGCTGAGGAAGTAACTAATTGCGCATGCCCAGTAGCTATTGTCAGGTGCCTGGCCATCCCCTTGAGAATTTAAACCTGAAATGTAAGAAATACTCCAAACACTTAAATCAACTCCCAGCGTAACAATTGTCCCATGAGCACCCAGTCACCCACACAAAGTGGCAACTGTGCTGTGCGTGAGCATCCATCCATTTACCTCATACAAAAGTGGCCAGCTTCTCCTGGTGAGGCTTTGCCAAAGAAATGCAGGGGAGAAATTTAGATGGACATTAGCACAGTTTTTAAAATGGAGCATTGCTGACAGGTGTTCCAGGGGCTGTGTTTGATCCAGTACCACCTTTTACTAGTGGTGTGATCTCATTCTGAATTTTAAAAGGGGATGAGAATGACTTCTATTTCCTTAGCTTGGTGTGAGACTCAAAGGAAAACAGCCTGTAATGTTTATGGGGGTGTTCATCTCACAGAAAAATGTCAGTAAGTGTTAAATCGCCATTGTCATCGACATTCAGTGTGTGTGTGTGTGTATGCGTATGTATATGTGTGTATGTGTGTATATGTGTATGTCTATGTGCGTGTGTGTATCACTAGATAAACTAGGAGTTGTAGTCGAGAAATTCAAGGATAGTAAAGATATTAAGATAGCCGAATACTTAGACTAGTTTTGCCTGGAATTCTTCCCACATATTTTCAGGGAACACTACTAGGAAAGGAGAAATCAGAAAACTGCACAGGAGTGAATGAGTACGCATAGCTCTGAGATGACATTCCTGTGGGCACTTTATAGCCACCTTTCCTGTCTGGCATAGCACAGTCGCTCAGTAAACACTTTATGCATGAACTGAACTGGCACGCTACTATTAGCCTGAGGCATTCTTTGAGGAGGCCCTTTGGGTCCCTTTACAACAGAATTCTCTTAATTGGGAAGCAAGTCAACCCTTCTCTGCGCTGCATTCCACTGTATGGAGAGCGGAATTGCAGTGGAACCCCAGGGGATTGTTATCTTTACTATGAATAACAGCCTTTATTGAGAAACAGAGATCTATAAGATACTGTCCAGAGCATGTGTCACTGTCCAGAATTAGCCTCTGTGGAGTGCTCTTATAATCTAATTTTGACAAACTTGGGAAAGTTTCCCAGTAATCTGAGGGGAGGGGACATGAAGGAATAGTCCACAGTGACACTGTCTACTGTAGACTGAATGCTCTTGATTAGCCAAGCAGAGGTCTCTCTCACAGGCCTGAAGTGGCTTCTATCTCCTTAGTGTTCTGTCAGGGGACAGGAGTCCCTAAGCCGGCTTCCCGGGAGGCTGGCCTACCGGCATGCAAAATGACTCCTAAGTGAAACTAACTCTTTGCATTCATTTTTGCCCTTTGCTTCAGCAGATTAGAAAGCAGCCTCCATTCATTTGGCACTTGGTGTTTTTGAGTCACGTGAATTATATTGTTTATCAAAGTTGTTGTTTTATACCACCAGGAGCATGGCACAACATGGGAGGGGAAATCCTTGTGGAGACGACAATGAGAGACAATACCTGACCAGTGAAGCAAATAGCTCTTAGTATGTTTGCCAGACCCCAAAGACTTTCCAGTGCACTCCAAGGCTCAGCCGCTGACTTGGACACACAGAAATTGTTGTCAGACATTATATTAGAAAGCTTGCTACATGTGACCCCAAAGAATAAAACTGTCACCAAAGAATACAGATAATTTCCAGCTATCCCTTTGGAAGCTGCTTGTTCATTCATAATATGTACTCTTCAACAGGAGCGATGAGGGTGCAATTCTGGGAAGTGTGTTGGGGGGACACCTGCCTCCTGTGGCCTACGTGGATTACGCTGCAGCCATTACTAAAGGAGTAATGGAGTAATGTGTGGTCCGGGAGTGGGGTGGGCTGCCTTCTCAGGGTCTGTCCTCAAAAGCAAGGCGAGTACTGGGCATAGTGAGCACATGGATACAGAATTACTCTGGAATCTGAGGCACGACCTCCAAAGTCTTTCACAATTGGACCCTGACTTCCTAGGCAGACTCCCGCCCCTTATTTTCTTTGCACCCCAAAGCCATGCCAGTTCTCATCCCACCAAGTGCCTTCCTGCAGTTCTCTCTGTCTGAAATGGCCTCATCTCTCCTGCATCTCCTCTATTCCTGCATCTACTTCATTTACTAAGGTTGCCTCCTCCAGGAAGTCCTCTTACCCACCCACCTGCTCCTACTTTCCCTTCTAGCTAAGGGCAATGCTATTTCACTTGTTTGTACGACACAACACACTTAGTTTCTAGTCTGTTTCTGGCTTTATTTATATTCCTCCACAGGACAGTGTTTCTTTAACATAGAGTCACATCGACCTTTGGGTCTATGAGTTCTAGCACTGGGCTGGTGTACGATGACATTAAATGTTCAAGATGGAATGAGTTATGCTTTCCTACATACTTTCCCCAGCACTATATATAGCATAGGCTACGTCGGAGGAGAATAATAAATATGTGCTTGATTGCATAAAAGCTGACCCCGGGCATTATCACTAAACAGAAGCTTCATGTCTGAAATCACTCAGTGGCCCAACATTCATGGGAGTTTGTGAAGTTCCAAGGGAAGAGACCTGAGAATTGATGAGCCTCATGCTTGGAGGGAAGACAGAAGGAGACTTGCTGGCCTTGCACTGGGTCGTCCAGAAACTGAAGACCCAGAAACTGGGTCTGCTTCTTTAGCCAGTCTTTGCTTCTTTAGTCAACTCACCTTTAGGTTTCCTCCTCCGCAGAACAGGCAACGATCAAAACTGAACAGAGGGCATGAGGATACTCAGCAAAAGCTGAGTATCTGTAATCATCAGGGTGAGATTCGTCCTTGAGCAGAGAAACGTGGTCCTTGCTTACTAAGCTGGCAGGAGACTGCAGAGAAGCACTTTGGAGAGGCCAAAAGTATTAGTTATATCCCTGGGTTTCAGGGAGGAGATTCGAACCCTCCCTTCGAACCACTTTGTGATGTTGTGATTTATGTTACTTTTCTTGCTGCTGTGAAAAATACCTTACAAAAGCAGTTTATGGAAGGAGGGCTTGTCTTGGCTGACAGTGTGAGAAGAGCTACTGTTTTTTGTGGAAGATCGTGTGATGGTAGGATGGTGGAATGGAGAGGGTGAGGGGGTGAAATGGTGGGCGGTGAGGTAGGAGAATGGTGAGGGGTGGGAGTGACCTAGCTGGCTACTCTGTTGATGTGATAAAACACTGACCAGAAGCAACTCAGGAAGAAAAGGGTTTATTTGGCTCACACTTCCATGTGACAGTCCATTATTGAGGGAAGCCAAGGCAGGAACTTGAAAGCAGGAACTGATGCAAAGGCCATGAAGAAACACTGTTTATTGGCTCCCTCGGCTTGCTTTCTTACACAATCCAAGACCAAGTCCAGGGCTAGGTCACCCACATCAATTATTAATCAAGAAAATGCCCCACAGATTTGCCCAAAGGCCAGTGTGATGAAGGTAAATCCTGAATTGGTGTTCCCTTTTCCAAAGTGACTCTGTCTAGTTCGTGTCCAGTTGACAAAGACTAACGAATACAGGGAAGGTGTCTGGTCACATTTTGTACAGTCAAGAAGCAGAGAGATGAATGCTGGTGCTTAGCTCACATTATCCTCTTCCCCTTTACTTCATCCTAGGACCTCAGTCCACAGGACAGTGCCATGCCTATTCAAGATACATTTTCCTTCCTTCATTAAAATGTTTTTATTCTTTTATCATCCATCCACCTATCTATCCATCTATCTATCTATCTATCTATCTATCTATCTATCTATCATCTGACTATCTGTTCTCTCTGTCTCTGTCTCTCTCTGTCTGTGTCTCTCTGTCTCTCTGTCTCTCTGTCTCTCTGTCTCTCTCTCTCTCTCTCTCTCTCTCTCTCTCTCTCTCTCTGTGTGTGTGTGTGTGTGTGTGTGTGTGTGTGTTTCCCTTGGGATTCAGAAGATTGTATCTGATC